TTCATACAGAAAATAAAAATGTAGAGACCCTAATCTGAACTCTAAACCTAACCCTAAACCTAACCTTAATCCCAGACCTTAACCCTAATCTTGATACTAACTTCCCCCAAAAATTTAATTTAATTAAAAAAAAAAAAAAAGAAGAGGACGGGAAGTTGGGAGGCATGAGGTGGTGAGGGGTGGATCTGGGAGAAGTTAGGGAGAGGAAAAGTAATGAATATGATCAAAATACATTGCATGAAATTTTCAAAGAATTACCAAAAAAATATATTTTAAATGTCAGCCAGGGGGCTGGAGAGATGGCTCAGCGGTTAAGAGCATTCACTGGCTGCTCTTGCAGAGGACCCAGGTTCAATCCCAGCACCTACATGGCAGCTAACAAATGTCCATAACTCCAGTTCCAGGGAATCCAATGTCCTCTTCTGACTTCCACGGGCATTGTACAACATGGGTTCACTTACATACATGCATACACTACATTTACATACATAAAATAAAAATAATAAATAAAAAAAATTTTTAAAGTAAGTCAGGTGTGGTGGTGCATGCCTTTAATCCCAGCCTTCAGGAGGCAAGAGATCTTTGTGAGTTTGAGGCCAGCTTGGTCTACAAAGCTCCAGGCAAGCCAGAACTCTGTAGTAAGACCCTGTCTCAAGAAAGAAAAAAAAAAAAGCAACAAAAAACCCCAGATAAACAAACAAAAGTAAACCTCTTCAGAGACAATGGCAGTTTCTCAGTGGAATCAATCAGTGACTGCACCTTCCAGTTTCGGGGCTGTTTTCAAGCATCTGTTAAATGAGAGGGAGGAGGACTATCCAGAACAGCATCTGCCCTCCAGAAAGACCCGTGGCCAAGCTGCACTTCAGCCAACAGTGAACATTATTGTCCCTGCTTTACAAATGGCCAAGCACTACGTGGCTCATCATGACATGACATTTGTTCTGAGCCATGTTTCAGGGTCAGGTCTGTGGAGTGGGAAGCTGGTACTTTTAAGAACTGACAACATCAAGTGCATCCCACGGTGGCCCAGGATTTCAAGGCTGTCCACAGTTTGGTGGTCAACTTGGTGACATAACCAGAGCATGCAATAGATCAAGAACTACCACCCAAACAGGAGTAGCCTGGGGAGACTTTTGACAATAAATGTTTCTTTTCTTTTTTTGGTCTTTTTGAAACAGGGTCTTCCTCTAGTCCCAGCTGGCCTGTAACTCACAGGCTGACCTTGAACTCATAGAGATCAGCCTGCCTCTGCCTCCCAAGTGCTGGGACTGCAGGCGTGCATCACCATGCCTGGTTCTCTTTTATTTTCACAGACTTACATAGGACTGGGTTAGGCCACCTTTGATCACTAATTAGAAAACTGAGCTACACAGGGCTGGGTTCCCAGGTGTTACAGGTAAGACCACACATCCCAGGTGCCAGGTCTGCTCACTAGCATCTCAGTCTAGAGAGTTCACCACAGAGAGATGCCCTGAGGCTTCCCATTCCAACTCTAGGTATCTGTATCAGAGGCCCCGTGGTCCTCAGTGGGGGAGCACCACATCTCATGGTGCGTTAGGAATGTGCACTTGGGGCCTGCTGCAGACTCTCTGACTGTAGGGCCCAGCAAGCTCTTCTGAAGATTCTGATGCACACCAAGGTCTGAGAACCACTGAAACCATTCCACTCCCTTGTGCTGTGCTATGTTGTATGTAGAATTAAGGTCTTGCATTACCTAGTTTTCAGTTTCACATTACTACTTTATCATTAGCAAAAAGCAGAGACCATCAAATGGTAACAGAATGTATTATACTGTTTCCAAATGTGCCCATGTCCTCCAATCTTACCTCTTCCAACTTGGTCTGTCTGCAGGGAAAAGAAAAGGTAAAGCCAAGGGGCAGTTTCTTGTGTGTCAGCTCTTTGGTCTTCATGAAGTCTGCCAGGCAGTCAGCCACATAGTCAAAGAGCTGCAGGAAAAGAAAGCACGGGCACTGGGCTCAGGCAGGGCTTCTCACAGCCGGTGCCCAGGCCCGTCCTTCCTGCTGGTACCTCCATGCCATTCCCCCGGATGATCTCATTGGGCGTTGGGTAGAACTGACTCTCCATTTGGACCTGTCGCTTCCCCTCTTCAGAGACTTGCACCTTCAATACTCGAAACTTAGAACCTCCCAGATCCAGGGAAAGGAACTCCCCGTTTTCTGTGAAGAAACAAAAATGGTCAGCAGACACACAGTTGGACACACGGCAAATGCCACTTGATGCCACCCCCCCCCATGGGTTAGTGTCACCATTCCACTTGCTGAGAGTTGAGAAGTGCAGCCATTTGTCTATGCCACAAATTAGGGGGCAGAGCTAGGATGTGAGCCCTGTCTGATCCCACCCCTCTCAGTCATGTAGGTGGGAATGGGCAAGTTCATTGGGAAAAGGTACCTGTGAACCCACTTCCTGAGGAAGTCTGAGAAATAAGCCAGGAGGGTGGAGCCTGTTCTAGCATGCCATAACTGGAAAGGAAGCTGTCCCATCAACCATGAGGAGAACTCTGATAAATGTATAAAAAGAGCGGTGCAGAGAAGGGAAACCAGCCTCACATGCCTCAGTCTGAAGGACAGAGGGAAACTCCAGGAGGACCAAATGACAGACCTAACAGACCAAAGATCCTTCATTTTTAGGCCAGAATCTCTCTAAAAGGAGAAGATGATTCGCCATCCAGCCTGGCCCAAGAATGATGTCTAAAAAAAAAACAAAAAACATGGAAATGATACATGTGTTGGGGTAGGCATCCTGATGATGTCTACCCAGGACCCTTGCCAGTGCCTGACACAGGAAGTGTTTACATAGAACCGTTGATGTCTATAAAGTGGTTTAATCTGCCTTGAATAATTCATGATGCAGGCCCAAGACACGTGTAAGTGAAATTCCATGCCCACAAACCCAGAAGTCAAGTGCCAGTGATGGATACAGTGTGATGGTAGCCTCAACTACCTGTATCTAAAGGGTCAGATGGCCAACCTGTCAGTCTTTGCGAACCATTTAATCTAACATGGAAGAGTGTCACCAGGAGACAGCAAAAGCTGAAATATCACTGTGCTAAGATCGTAGGGAGGAAAGCACAGTTCCCTGGGGCCTCAGAGCGTGGAGGTTCTGTGAGATTGGACTTCCATGAGATTCAATGTACCACTTCCTCTGTCCCCATGTCCTTGGCCAAAAAACATTCCTGGACTACATTCTAGAAGTTTTTCTATTCCAGCAATGCAAGAGTTAGAGGCCAAGCCTTAGCTAGCCAGAGCAGTGCTGTGCAAAATGTCATACATGGGCCTCACTGGGAGTCTAGCTGACATGCAGACCCTGACTCTGTGAGGGGCCAGGAACTCTGCATTTCTAAACAGGCTTCCAGCTAGCCAAGGCACAGAATCATTTATAGATTCAGCTGCCTCGGGTTTGGTTTTTGTGGAAGTACCTACAAATTAGCTCCCCAGATGAGCCCTAAAAGGAGCTTTGAGGGAGAAGTTTATGGTTTATTAGTGGACGGGGGCATCCAGGAATGGAATCCTGCACATGTATCACATACTCTGCATAGAGACACCCTCACTGGGTGTGTTAGAGGAAGTCATGCAAACATTCACAGAGCACCTATGCTGTATCACATGCCAGGTGCTGAGGAGGCAAAGATGACAGGGCGCAAGCGCCACAGGGAGTCTACCAGAACAGTGGTGGATAGAAGCTGGTTCTGGTCAGGACAAATGCTCCTCTGGCAGGAAGCCTGATGGGAAGTGCAGGAAGACAGATGTGCAGGAGAGGTGAGAGCAGGCAGCAGGTAGAGCTGGGTGAGGAGATGAGAGGGAGTCTGGGAGTCAGGCAGGGGAGAGCAAGCCACAGAAGGTGAGAGTGAGCCACAGAAAAGTCTTAAGGACAGGAACACCAAATCTGATCAAGATTTTGGAAAAATGCCTCTGGCACCCACCAGACGAGATGGCCCTGTTACAGGAATGGGAGGGAGCCAGCTGATAACCGACTAGTGTCAGCAACTCTCTCTGCCTCCCCCACAGCACCGTTATCACTGTGCAAACACTTCGCTCACCCCTGTGACCCAGGATGTCACTTCATGAAGCATGTGGTATGATCCCTTCTGTGGTGGGACTTTGCCCGGGGGTGGGGGGCGGCAGGGGGAGGAGGCAGTGGGGGGAGGGAGGCCCTGCCCAGGCAGAGGAAGAGAACGAGGTTAGGAAGGGCCTTTCAGGGTCTTTACAGCAATTATTAAACAAACAGCCTCCCTCTATGGGGCTGTGGAGATGACTCAGCCGGTAAAGCACCTGTACAAGCATGAGGACCTCTGTTTGATCCCTGACACCTACACAAAACACAGGCACAGGGGAGGCAGAGACAGGAGAATCTCTGAAGCTCAATGGCCATCCAGTCTAGCCAATCAGTGAGTTCCAGAATCAGTGAGAGACCTTGTCTCAAAAATCAAGTGAATGAGGGCATCACATCTGGCCTCCATATGTACATGCACACACATGCATCCACACATATACATCCACATCCATCCATACACACACACACACACACACACACACACACACACACACACATGTACATGCACACACATGCATCCACACATATACATCCACATCCATACACACACACACACACACACACACACACACACACATGAAAATAGCCTCCAAAAAAGAGGACTATTCTGTCTGCTACTGATGGTCCTCGGAAACAGGGCCATCTTCTCCAAGGCACTGCCAGGGCTTGCCTCTGCTCCTTCCCCACTTCTTGGTGAGTGTCTCATAATGGCATCCAGTGGCCAAATGCATAGATTTCTAGACATTCAGGGCCTCCAGAAGGGAAGGCATGAGGAAGTGTATCTAGGAACCTCCCAGGTGCATCTGAATCCTTTGCTAAGGCAAGTATAAAATCCAGGTCCTCCTGTGACCCCAGGGCCTGCTATTAGCTGGCCCTAAATGACTGCATCAGGGCTTCAGGATTAGCCCCTAAGACCAAGGGGTGGAGGTCAAGAAGAAAGTTTTCTGGGTGGGAATATAGAATCATAATCACCATCACATTCAGGGATGGGTGGTCTCCCAAACCCCCTCCTGTGCACTGCAGAGGATTGGCAGGAGGCACAGATGCCACAAAGCACTCTTAAGGCTCTTGGTCCTGACAAGGAATGGTCCATGGTCCATGTCAGCCCCCTGACTAAGGGGCTGAGAGGCCAGGAGAGCACAAGTAAGTTTACCCCCTCAGGTAGGTTCAGAGCAAGGAAGAACTACAGAAGGGTCAGCAGACCCAGGAGGATTCCGTAGGAAGCAGGATTCATTTCTGAAATGAAAGCCACAGGGATTAGAAAAGGTTTACTTGTTTGATTCTCTTAGTAATCATGAAATTACACCACTAACTCACAGAGCTATGGAGGACTGGGAACTACAATCAAGAGATTTTTTTTTTAATCTTTGTGTTGGTGATGGGGTGCTTTAGGGACAGGTTATGTGTGTGAACGTGGATGTGGATGTGTCATAGCACTTGTGTGGGAGTCAAAAGACAATCTCAGGTGTCAACCATTGCTTTCCACCTTGTGTGAGACAGGGTCTCTTGTTAGCCACTGTGTACACCAGGATAGCTGGCCCACAGACTTCCAGGATTCTCCTGTATCTGCTGTCCATTCAGTAGGAACCCTGGGATTACAGGCTTGTTCTACCATATCCAGCTTTACATGGGTTCTGGGGATTCAAACTCAGGTCCTCAAACTTGGGTAGCAAGTACTTTAACTACTAAGCCTTCTCCTAGGCCCATGAAAGGGTTTGTTTTGTTTTTTTTTAAAACACCATCCTAGCCAAGTATAATCCCAGCATTCTGGAGGCAGACGCAGGAGGATCTCCATAAGCTCAGGGCAAGCCTGATTTACTTATGGTGGTCTAGGTTAGCCAGGACTACATAGTGAGACCCTGTTTCTCTCTCTCTCTCTCTCTCTCTCTCTCTCTCTCTCTCTCT